CATTTTTAGAACTGAGGTTTTTAGTGCCTTATAGGCGGTATTGTCGCCACGGAATGTGCAAGTTAAGATTGTATTTTTGCCCTTGAACAATCCTTACCTCGACGCCAATTACTGCCTTTTTAAATCCATTTTTGCGGTGTATGCTTTAAAAAAATGGGGGGGGGGGGGGGGGGGGGGAGGGGAGGGTCTTTGTGGTTGATAATTAACGGTAGCATAACTAGTTCTATCGCCACGACTGTGTAGGTGAGGTATTTTTTTTTTTGGCCCAACAAAACACACACACACACACACACAAAATCCCCAGCCTTACCAAGGATTTGAACCTGGGCTACCCGCATGAAAGCCTCCAAGCTTTCCAAACGTTCGGCGAACCAGACCTCCCCTACCTCACCGAGGGTTCGAACTCGGGCTACCCGCATGAGAGCCTCCTAGCCGCTCTGCCAAACTCTTCTTGGGAAAATTGATATCAAAATTAAAGAGTATATCGACGACTGGCTTGGGTGACCACGCCTCTCCACAACTTGCGATCTCCAGTAGCATAAATCATTTCGTGTGCTGGCACAGTTGCGTGCCATGAAAAAAAAAGTTACAGGAATTTACTAGCGATGTCCTCTTTTGTTACGGAGCGGCTGGTTGAACTGTAAGAACGCTTCGATCTCACTTGGGAGACTCAAGCCCTAATCCTGGTTAAGAGTGGAGATTAGTTTCTCCTTTTCCGGCAAAAATAGTCATATCCTGCACAGTACGTGGCGACAGCAACTAGCCATGCGGCTCTCATTCCTCAGGCTCAAAGACTCCACGCTCGCCTGCGGATCGAAGGTCGTGGGTTCGAATCCTAACAGAACAAGGCTTTCTTTAAAAATGATCTTGTCTCCCAGGTCGACCCAGCCCTGAGTGGGTACCAAGTGCAGTCATGGGAAGTAAAGGCGGCCAGCGCGATGACGACCACATCACCCACCAAGTGCTGATTGGTCTATAAAATACAGGCCTAGCCCTATATGCCAAAATACGCTCGAAGGCCTGAAAAAGGGCCCTTTACTTTCTTTACTTACAATGACTCCACTACCAACTAAGGCTGTACCGAATAGGGATTTTCACTATTCGGCCGAGTACGAATAGCGGGACCAACTATTTGGCCGAATACGAATACGAAAAGTGTATCATCATCATGTGCCTTGCCAACTTGCGTGAGCCTTGCCACAATCTGCGATCTCCTGCAGCATGTATCACTTCGTGTGCCAACACACCTGCATGCCATGCAACAAGACTGTCAAGAATCTTCTCTCGTTGTCTTCCTCTATCCCTCCTTCCACAGATCTTTCCAGTGGTCATCACATGTTCAATTTTTCCCTCTTCTCATAACATTGCCGAAAAATGATGACTGTCTCCTTCTGATGTCTGTGATTATTTGTCTTCGGGCTCCCGCCTCTTTCAAAACCTCTTGGTTGCTTATTTTTTTTTCAAGGTATTCTAAGCATTCTTCTGTAAAACCACATCTCTGGGGCCTCAAGAAATTGTTTTGCCTGCCTACCGATTGTTCAGCCATATTTTAATACTGGATGCTGTATCATGCAACCGGGTCGCAATTGTCCCCGCTACTTAGACAACAGCAACTATTGTGTTAATTAGAGAGTTACTTCAGTCTACCCCAGTATATGCAGTAACGGTTGTAAGGTAACCACTATTCGTAATCGGCCCGACCGCAAGTATTCCGCCGAATACCGAATAGTTATTAGGTCCACCATTCGGCCACGAAGCGAATATTCGGTACAGCCCTACTACCTACACTGCAAAAGCGGTAAATGCAGATAGTTATTGCGGTTTTTGTTAGTCTTCCTTTATCTCTTTTCACAAATCTTTTCAGATTCCATGATATGTTTAGGATTCGTTCTTCTCCTAAGGTCCCTATACTAAAAAAGACGTTTGCGTTTTCCGATATTTGTGATGTTTAGGTTTAGACAACGGATCAACGTCATGGCACAAGAGTAGTAAACCATAAGTGCTCCGTTCTACTTCTAACTCAAGCCTGAGTCCGAAAAATCTCAGCGCAGTGCACGAACTCTGTAGCACCGGCGAGGATCCTAAAATACTTTAGGTAGATTTTTAACACCAAAGTTTGCCTTGGCTGTGCCGTTAGGCTACTCTTTTCGATTTCCAACTCCCAAGAGATTTTTTTTACGTGCGCAAGAATACACACGGGCGTCCAATCTTACTACCAAGAGACCAGGGAATATTACTAAAGTCCACGTAAAAAATCCCTGCCTGCACTGGGGATTGAACCCGGGACCTTTAGCACTCGAGGCGGACGCCATGCCTCGAGATCCCGAAGCCCTTTTGTGATATGAAAACAGGACAAAAATTAGCAAGAAATCTGGCATATTTATTTTCTTTCTTTACAAGAACAGTTTGGAAACCACATTAACGCGTAATAAAACAATATTTACAGTAATGTACAAGCAAGAAAGTTATAGCACAATGATTGAACACACATACCTCACCATCAAGCACACAATCACAGCGGACACACAATGAACACACACACACAATCATCCTTCAGTTTGTCTTTTATAATAAATCACACCAGATATGCACAGTCAGGACTTTATTTCACAGTACCGGCACCCCTTTTATTTAAGCATAATCTTTTTCAGCGCGAAAGCAGTTGACGCTTAATGGTGACTATTGGCACATTTTTTGTGTTTAACACTTTGCGGTGAGTACTAGCAACTTTCGTTCTACAAACACACACACACACACGCGCGCGCACACACACACACTCACAAACCTGGTATACATGTATTATTGTTACTGATGGTGTAATTAAAAGGCTCTGTCTAAGAGCCATGAGCGCTTGAACGTGTGAGGTATTTTCTTCTTCTTTGTTTTGACTAGCTGTAAACTCCAGTGGAAAGTTCTGGTTGTTTGTCCACCTCTGGACTTAAGTTTTGTTCCAGAACCTGGGTGTTGCGTGCCCATTTGTTTTACAGATTGACATATACGTGTGCAGATTGTCGGTTCCTTGCATCTCAGGCAGATGCACTACGACTGAAGACCCCCCCCCCCCCATTTAATCGACTTTTACGACATACCTGTTTGGGGGGGGGGGAGGCATTGGGTCTATTCCTGTCTTTCCCACAAAAGGGGGTCACGTAACCCACAGAGGGGCCTGGGGCGTATGCACTTTGAGGGCCCTCTCCCCTCTACGCTCCTCCTCCACCCTCACCCCTACCCCCTCCCCAAAAAAAAAACCTGCTATATCTAGTGGTTCTCTTCTGAAGTTTTTGTTTATGCACTTAATATTATTTAAAACATATGCTGTTTGCCCTTCAGCACACCGTCATTATTTTTATTAATCACCTTAACAAGACTTTGGATCTTTTGAGGGCAACCCCCCCCCCTAGAAAATGTGTAAGGGTTGCCCCTGCACTGAATGCATCAGCACATAGTCGTCATTATTATTATTCGGCAATTAAACAAGGCAGCCCCGTATCGAATGTTTTCTTTGTGTTCCTGCGCCTTGGCTAAGCATTGTAGTACTAAGATTATTTTGAATGTCATCTTTACAATGGCGGCAGCGGCAATGGATATGTGCACCAACCGCTGTCTTTTGACATATTACTGACTGAACCCCGATCTTTTCGTCGGTGCGATTCTCGTACCACTGTTATGTAGCCACTATAGTTTTACTATTATGATATCTGGGATCAAACTTTCATAGAAATTGGATAAACCACATTCCAGTGTCATTTACTCTTTCTCACCCTGTCTGTTTATTGTCCACTTTCCCCTTTCCAAGTAGGAGTGTATTTGCAAGACATGCGGGGAACTAGCAGTCTGCGCACAAATAAGCCAGATCTGTAAAACGGATGCGCACGCAAAACTCAACCATTCACTGGCCACTTTTACTTCCCAAGCTATTTCCTGGTACCTTCTTTATGGTGAGTTCACCTGGGAATCTAGGTCAAAGATTGTACGTTAGTTTATATATATATGCATATAAAAACATTCTTTTCCGTCTTCGAAAAGAAGTGGTCTACAGTGCAGTTACATGCATCCTGTGGTAAGATTAGATGGCGAGGCTCCAATCTCTGTCAAGGTGTGATCCTCGTACGACTGTTCGACAATCCTGACAGCAGTCTTCTTTTAAACATTCCACTATTGACATCGTGCTTCATCAAATCGTAAAACGCAGTCACTAAACTCTAGCTCACAGTCACATCAATCTATTCTTGGGTAACAGCAGCAGAAATTAATCCATACATTCAGAAGTTAGTTAGTAAGTCGGCATTTCATCCTCATGACACATCGAACTGTTCAGTCCCTTTGTGTGCTGGTCGAATCCCCTCCTCAGCAAGTCTTACTTGGCCACACAATTTTAAATTTGCTAGTCGTGCAGGCCGGTCATGGCTGTAGATTCACAGTCATCACCTGGTTGGTTGTAGGTTCACAGTCATCACCTGGTTGGTTGTAGGTTCACAGTCATCACCTGGTTGGTTGTAGGTTCACAGTCATCACCTGGTTGGTTGTATGTTCACAGTCATCACCCTGTTGATTGTAGGTTCACAGTCATCACCTGGTTGGTTGTAGGTTCACAGTCATCACCCTGTTGACTGTAGATTCACAGTCATCACCTGGTTGATAGTAGGTTCACAGTCATCACCCTGTTGACTGTAGATTCACAGTCATCACCTGGTTGGTTGTAGGTTCACAGTCATCACCCTGTTGACTGTAGATTCACTGTCATCACCTGGTTGATTGTAGGTTCACAGTCATCACCTGGTTGGTTGTATGTTCACAGACATCACCCTGTTGATTGTAGGTTCACAGTCATCACCTTGTTGATTGTAGATTCACAGTCATCACCTGGTTCTTGCAAACTCCTCGTGGTGCATTCATTAATTCAGCCGGGACCATGGCTCGTCCGCCCGCTCTTCACGGTAGGCTTATCTGCGACTAGTAGCTGAGATAGTAACACAAGTAAAGAGTCAAGTCTTTGAAAGCTAAACAACAACGTCTTTTCCCATGAAACCATCAAGCATGACATCATCAGAGTTCATGATATAACTTCCGGACGTTGTAGTACTAGCATCATCGTCCATGGAGACAGCTGACCCCTGTGGAGTATAAGACACAGCTGGAGGATGTCTCAAGACAGCTTGGTTATCTCTGTTTGGCTTGTGAATTGTAGTATGACTGGACTGTCTCATATTTGAGTGTACGTTTGGAACGAAAGTTGACGAAAGAGGAGGTTGACGTTGGTCATAATAATTTCCATGAAACCCATCGTGTCTTCCTGTGTCTTGGAGGCGAAGCTTCTCTGGTTTTGGAGGAAGTGTTGGAGCTTGAAGGCGGGATCCTCCTTGAAGGTTTTGAACAGGACGAGTATTGCCAGCGTTCTGATGCGTAAATTGGTCAAACAATCCGTCTCTGGCTGTCCTGTAGTGGTCTAACGGTCGTGAGGAACCTGTGTGAGGAAAAAGAAAATCAAACAATAGAAACAGTGCTTTGCCAACATTTGGTTTAATCTACATATTCAGTTTCTTTGCTAAGGTATTCTCTCCCCCCACCCCCCCCACCCCCCCCCACCCCCCTTCCCCTCTTGTGGGTCCCGGGGCCATGTTATAGGGAGAACGAGAATAGACCCACTGCCTACCCAAAAGCATGTCGTTAGAGTCGACTAATTGGAAGCTTTCTTCGAAGTCGGAGTGCATCTGCTTGAGAGGCATTGAGCCAACTGTCACACAAATGTGCCAAATCTGTCAAACGGATGCACACGCAACACTCAGGTTCTGGGACAGGACTGCAGTCCAGTAGTTGACGAACAACCAGAACTTCCCACCAGAGTTTACAGCCGGTGAACGCAGAGAAGAAGAAAAAGAAGCTAAGGTATTCGACAATTGCCAGTGGCAGCCAGCGTTCATTGGATCGCAAATTAACCCCCCCCCCCCCCCCCCCCCCCACCAACAGAAGTGGTTTACGATGACGATGATCATTATTGGATGGATACTTTCGGTTGTTTATTGCACAGTTAGAGGTAGTAACGTAAAGTACAGCACAGTAAATGACAAGTAAGTGGAAATTTACGTTTTAAAAAAGCAAAGTACATTAGTTAATTTTTGGTAATACAACATAAACCCAAGTAAACTGCTTCTAATTACAGGCTGTATTGACTAATTTTGCGGTGTAGGCTGGAAAAATAGAAGTGGAAAGGGGAGTGGGGGGGGGGGACGGGTGGGTCTAAGGAAAACGGGGCCCTTGACTAGTTCTGTCGCCATGCTATGTGCAGTTTAGGATTTTATTACAGTAGATTACAGTGAAGCTAATTTACGTACAGTTGTTTATAGTAATGTAAGGTAAAGAAAATTAATTAAGGTTAAGTCGATTAAAGTACATTTAGGTAGTAAAGTGTTACTTTCATCCTTTTAGGCAAACTGAGTGTATAGTTATAACTTCCAGCTCAAATGCACGATAGCTGACAGAACGCTGACGCTATAAAGATATTTCTTTCCAGCTAGGTCTTGCAGATGCAAATTTCAAATTTCTGGACCGGGAATACAATGGTTCCCTCGCCCAGCTACTAAGCTGAGTGCTTGTTGCGGCACTGTGAGCTGTGGAATTTCACTTTGAAATATTTTTAATTTTTATTTTTAATGCTTGTGTTGTTGTCTGCACTAAAATGGCGGGTGGCCGATAACGTTAAGAATGCCGTATATTTTTGTGGACACAATGTCAGTTTTTCGTGGCTGACCGAACAGTGAGTGAGTATGCGCCAACAGTGAGCTGCAATTCTGGCGTGGGGCCGTTATTGTTGGCACAAATGACAGCCTTAAACATTTTCACTTTGCGTGCGCAAGCTGTAAGATTTTGCTGGGACTGATACTAACTAACCAACTAAGTAAGTTTATAGTGGTAAGTCATATTTAATAATAAAAATAATAATAATAATAATAATAATAATAATAATAATAATAATAATAATAATAATCGACAGTCAGTTACGTGATATCTTGCATAGTACACATCAGTGGTTCTCAAATATTTTTCGCTACGGCACCCTTATCGTGCTAACAAAATGTCGCGTCACACCTACCCTTAGAACGGTTTGAATGCTTAGGAGAAACAGGAAAAACAGTGCACATTTAATGTTCAATTGTCTTTAGTGCGATGAATGAAACTGTATGCATTTTAAAAAAATACTCTTTATGTAAATGAGAAGTTTAGTTAATTTTACAATAAAAAGAAAGCTTGCTCCTGTGTCTGTTCTTTATGTAAGCGTACGTTGAGAATGCACTGCAGCCTTGCAAAAAGCATTGTCTTCTGAATACACCTGCATCCAGAACTCTTTTAGCTTCCTACACTGTCTTTCTGTTTTAAACTACTGCCTTTGCTGATCTCAAGCCGATTTTGAAAAATTCTCGATTATTACCGCGGCACCCCTGACATACGCTAGCGGCACCCAGTTAGAGAACCTTTAATGTAGGTAACATAAAAGATACAGTTCTACGTCCTGGTGTTTATTGGACATACGACGCTCCTACCATATTATTTTTCAATGAAACAAACTGAGTCGGCTTGAAATGGACGACATCAAGTGTCATAGAGAGCATGTTAATGATCGTACAATTATCTTTCTGCCTAGTTTTCCGGTCTTATTTCAGGAAAAGAACAGTGCAAATGTCGTGCCACTGTCTTGGTACTCCACAGGGGGTATTTATTCCCCCAGCCGACACGTGCAGTCATTCTGCTGAGAAACCACCGACCCGGCTGCTACGAGATACTAGCTAAGTGATTTTGTGTATCTGTGTAGTTTTGTTTCATTTGTATGTGCTGATGAAGGCTCAATAGCCGCAACGCTCACGTTTTGTTTGTATTTGTTATATTATAAAGCTTGCTAATATACTTTTCGTTCGGTTTTATATCTTTTCTTGACACTGTCTGAATGCTACGAGAATGGTTTAATTACACATTTCTTCTTCTTTGTATTTCCTTAAAAAGACAGTTGGCGCTTTGAATCGAATTCTACAGTTAGGCAGCGATATGTGTGTGTCGATCAGTTACCTCTAATTTCATCAAAGCCCTTATTAGTAGCGTCAGGCTTCTAATGGGACAATGGGTCAGTTCTTTTTGTATGAATATTATTTTTTCCCATTCCGCAAATACGCTTGATATGACGAAAATATTTCAGCTTCCGAGACAAGATGCTGTTTATTAGCCAGTCTTCCTTGATGTTCCAATCTTTTAAAAAGCAAGTATTTCTTCTCTTCTTTATCCGTGGTATTCTGAGAATCTTTCTATAGCATTTCAGCTCCAAAGTCCCTATTTTCTTTCTTAAGGACTAGAAGACAGTCCAAGACTGCCATCCGTATGTTGCTACAAGGAAGACGCATGTGATAGGTGATAGTTAAGGATCTTCGTGATCAGAGGAAGACTTACCTCTGCCAGGTGAATGGTCGAACTTGATGTCTTCGTCGCTGGTGCCCCTTCCGCTGTCACAGGTTCCTGATTCTCCCGAGGCATCGCTGTTGATATCATCCGGCTGTGAAAGATAGGCACAACTTATTAGAAGGAAGGGACACAACTTATTAGAAGGAAGGGGCACAACTTATTAGAAGGAAGGGACACAACTTATTAGAAGGAAGGGACACAACTGGTTAGAAAGAAGGGGCATAACTTATCAGAAGAAGGGAAACCCAGTCATGTTAGTCTTCTTTTTCTCAGAGTTCACTGGAGGTAAACTCCGACGAAAAGTTATTGTTGTCAGTCCATTTCTGCACTTTGGTCTTGTTTCAGAACCAGAGTTTTGAATGTACAACCGTTTTACATATCTGGCTTACTTGTATACAATCTGTTGGTTCCTCGCCTTTCAGGAAGATGCACCCCATCTTCGATAAAACGCCAAGAATTAGAAGAATTTTACGAGATATTTGTAGTGGGCGGGAAGGGAGTGGGGAAGGAAGGGCTTACCCCCCCCCCCACCCCCGGTGTCCCGGAAATGACACGGGGAGTCACATTCTATTCTAACTTTCTTTCGTTCGTTCTTTTTTTTTCGTTCTTTCTTTTTTTTTTTTTAATTTTTTTAATTTGTTTATTTATATCTTAATTTCTATGTCCTATTTTTTTTTTGTAAACCTTTTTCCCTCAATAGGCACTATCCGCCCCGCCCCCCCCCCCCCCATGGACCCCAAAACCCACACGGGACACATACTAGGTAAATTTACAACGTACAACAAGGTATTCAGAACAGCAACGGCCGGAGACTCATTACGGACAACATCCGCCCAGGGCTGCCAATGGGATTTTTTTTTGAAAAACCCAGCTTCGCTAAACAAAAACCCAAGCAATACATAGACAGCCCCAGGTTGTTAAAATGTACAAAATTTATCGTTACGAAACAAAACATTTACCACTTTTATATAAGGATATATTTAAATAAAAAACCCAGATTCCCCCAGGTGTCAAATAAAAAAAGAAGAAAAAACCCAGATCTGGGGGAAAAAAACCCAACATTGGAAGCCCTGCATCCACCACCAGGCGCCGGATTATGTCGAGACGTCCAACATGACACAAGTTAAGCCCATATATTTATTCCCGCCAGGTTGGTTGGTCATTAGGGCCGAGGCTGGCGGAAACAGGTAGTCGCCCTACCTGTCGCACAAAGAACCCCGGTAAGAAATTAATTAAAAGTCGCGGAACTGTTTTCCCTGAGACAGGTGGAAAGTGGGACAGGGTCGCAGATGGGTTTAGCTAGCGGACACCTGACGCGACAGAACGCCGGTAGTAAATGTCTTCAGGGACCAGTAGAGAAGGTTTGTCATTGTGTGGATGGTGTAAGTGTCCGGACTTCTTGCTCACTGGGGGATAGTTAAGAACTACTGGGCACGCCGCCATACAGAAAACATTCGAGGGATGTGGAGAAGAGAAATGGTTGGAACTGGGGGATTAGAAAAAAGGGCTCAGCCACCCTACCCCTAATAAATTTTTTTTTTTTGGATGTAGGGAAGAGCTCCATCCTTGGGTAACTGAGTAATAATAATAAGCATAATAATAAATAACAAAACTATAATTAATATATAAGTAAAGTAAAGATCCCTTCTCACGCCTTTTTGGCGCATAGGCCATATGGGAAGAGCACCCATATTTGTACATACCAATCGGCACTAGGTGGGTAATGTGGCCATCTTTTCTTCCCTAGGACACACATTCTGGTACCCATTTTAGGCTGCGTGGGCCTGTGACGCCCATACCATGATAAAAATCCACGCAGCCAGCAGTGGGTTTCGATCGTGGTGCGTTGGTATAGTTAATATAGTTATGGTTAGTTGCGTATCCTTTACAGGACGTTGCAGAACCAACGCCAACAGGCAAAGTAGTTTGCCATTGCCTCTGGACGTTCGGCTTTCTTGATACCACTGTCGAAACCAACACAAGGCGCAAGCCCCGCTGCTGGGATCGAACCCGTCATCCCGGTATTACGAAGCGTTCGCATCGACTTAGCCCCAGAGCCGACAATTAATATAGTAGTAACAATATTATTATTATTATTATTTTCACAACTACTGCGCAGTTAAACATAGCTTAAGCGACCCCCTTCCCTCGATATTTATTTAGCCAGGACCTGAAGGCGATTAAGCCTGTTCAACTGTACAGTATCAGTAATGTTATTATTATTATTATTATTATTATTATTATTATTGTTGTTATTATTATTAATATTATTATTATCATGTTGAACAGCAAATAAAATAATATTTTTGAATTAATATTAAATAGAAAATCAAATTCTTGAAATAAGAACGTTAATATATGATGACTGTTGGTTCTCTCCTCTCAGGCCTATTTGACCATGTATCTTAATGTACTTGTATTCATGGCAAGGCTCAGACGCCGTCTGGAGGTGACAGGTTCAATTCCCGGCACGGTAACTAAAGCTTTCGATTTGTATGTTGTCTAGTGTCTTCTTCTATCTTTCTACTTCTTTCTATGAGTGCCGATCAATACACTTTCTGTTACTCCATTAATTCTCTCAGGCAGATGCACTGTCTTTGAAGGAAATGTCCACAACTACTTGACTTTAACGACATGCTCCTTTTACAAGGACAGTAGGTCAATTCCCCACCCCCTTCACCCCTTCCACTTTTCCACTATGGGGCCTAGAAAACCCCCCCCCCCCCCCCACCCCCACGGGGATTATTGCCGACTGAAGATGATGATTGTTATGACAGTGATGTAGGGTTTATGAAGGTGATGATGAAAGCACATAATCATACTTACATTGTTATATTTCTTCCATATAGAGTGCGAATCAGTATTCAGTGGAAGATTAAAACATATCTGCTTTTCTGGTAGGAGTACCTGCCCCTGATCATGGAATTCGTCTTGGAGACTGAAGCTGACCTTCTTGTGCACATCCTCATGCTTCTTTCCCAGGTTCCCCGGGCTCAGAATCACTCCATGTTGGTCACTGCCGATGGAAGAGTTGCTCTGAGACTTGGTAGCGTCCAGAGAATCCACCTGTTTTTCGTCTACCACTGCCTGAACTGCCGTGGCGTTGCAAAAGTTATTCTTGAAAAAGGAACCGTTTTTACCACTTCGTCTATTTTTGTCGGAGTGTAAGATGAAAAAGATGGCGCTAATGATGATTACAGATAAAACGACAGTTGCTCCTCCGATGACTCCAACAATGACGACGTAGTGATCACGAATTTGCTCATTCTGCGTGTACGTACTCACTTCTGAAATGTTTTCAAACCGGACTTCTATACGGAGTTGTGTTGAGGCGTTTCTAGGTCGTGTGGTTGCATCTTCCACTTTAATAGACAGGTAGTAGTCCTGTGGATTCTTCAGGTGTTCAGTGCTCACCAACATGAGCTCTCCGTTGCTCAGTCCGATAGAAAATGCGCCATCATCGTTTCCTTCATAGATGGAGTAGCGTAATCCGGCGATGTCATCTTCATCCACATCATATGCGATAATTCTTCCCAGAATCATTCCATTCTCTGGTGTATTCGAGATGACGATTGTGTGGTTATTTGATGTTGGGAATAAAATTACGGGATCGTTGTCATTTTCGTCAAGAACTTTTATCTCCACGGCAACTGTATTGGACCGCGGCACCTCCCCTCTGTCTCTGACGATAGCAGTAAAAGAGTACTGGGCCTTACTTTCTCTATCTAATGACCCTGTCACCTGAACGGAACCGTTGCGTAGAACTGCGAAAGGTAATGGTGAATCCCCTTTGGATGATCCTCCGAAATAGAAATCGTATTGACCATTAGTGCCCACATCCAGATCATAGCCTGTCAGCTCGCCAATGAAGGTGTTGTTGGCGATGTTTTCCGAAACAAAGAAGACAAATTTAGGCTTGCTAAACTGCGGGTTGTTGTCGTTTATGTCTTTAACAATGATGGAGATCTCCGCGACTCCTGTCCTTGGACGGCTTCCACTATCAGTTGCAAATACTTTGAAACGAAGTGTTGCATTTGCTTCCCTATCCAAGGGACTATTTGTGGATACTATTCCTGTTCTGGAATTAACCCTGATGTATTCTTGAGCTTCTTTGGGGATAGAGTATGTGATTTCAGCATTAATGCCTGCGTCAGCATCTTGAGCAAGGACTTGGGCGATGAACTGTCCAGCATCGCGGTTTTCATCGACCATTCCAGTGTACAAATTCTTTAAAAACCTTGGCGTATTGTCGTTAATGTCTGTGATATTAACTGTCAGTTCTTTAGAGGCTTCTATGTCCGAAGCACCAGCATTTTTACAACTGATCATAACGAGATATGAGTCCTTTGTCTCTCGGTCCACCGATGTGTTTAGCAGCAAAGTGTATCCTTTTTTGGCACCGGGCTCAGTTTGAATTCTGGACCAGACACAATTTGGCACGTTACTTGTCCACTGTCACCATCATCATTATCTTCAATATCTATGAAAGCCACAAAGTGGTCCAGAACAGCAGATTCAGGAATGCTCAAAGTGGACACATCTCCAGCGGTAACTGTGTTGACCACAACAGTCGGGGGTCGAATCCCAGAGCTACTTAAGGTCACTTGAACACAGGCTTGGCTGCTGAGGGGTGGGTCGCCTCCGTCCTTGGCGTCAACAAATAGTAAACATGGTGAGGTGTTTTTTCTGATGGTCCTCAGGTCACCCTGCAGAGAGATCCAGCCATTGGCAGGGTCAATAGAGAATATTCCTTTGACACTGTTGGAACTAAAGCTGTAGGATATGCGACCGTAGTCTCCGATGTCACTATCTGTTGCTGTTACCTGTAACAGAAATAACAGATGTAATCAAAACCGTGTGGGAACAGAATTTCTTTCAGGTAACATGATAATTTACAAAAACATTACATCTACAGAAATCCAATTAATAATGCCAGTAATTTAACTCAGTAAATCAAGGGGTTCTACAGCAACAACACTTACTGCTGCTACTGCTGCTCCTATTACTGATGAGGCTACTACAACTACTACTTTTGTTGCTGCTAATACTACGGCTAATGTCGCAGCTACTACAAATACTTCTCTACAACTGCTGCTGCTGCGGCTACTACTACTACTACTGCTGCTGCTGCTACCACCACCAGCACCACCACTACTTCTTCTTTTTCCTCTTCATTCATTCATTCATTCATTCATTCATTCATTCATTCATTCATTCATTCATTCATTCATTCATTCATTCATTATTTCTTTCTTTTTTTCTTGTTCTTCTTGTTTGTCAGTTATTGAGAAACATTATTGGTGTTGCTAAGGATGTTGAGGATGATATGACGATGATAATGATGACAAGGATATTAACAAAACTAACCTGTGCTACCTGAGCGCCGATCTTCTCATGCTCATTAATGATGATTTCATATTTGGACTGAGTAAATCTGGGAGCGTTGTCGTTATCATCGGTAACTCTGATAGCCACACCGAGCGACTCGCTCTGCGGCGTTGGGGAACCGTCGTATGCGAAAATGTCGAATCGATATTCGTCTTTGGTTTCCCGGTCCAGCTCTTTCTCCAGTCGGAGGTTGATGGTGACGCTGCCGTCTAGATTGGTGGTCGGGTGGATGCTGAAGGTGGCCATAGCTGGGGTGATGTTGTAGTGTTGGACCGTGAACTCTGGTTTGGAGTCTCTGTCTACTGGTCCGCTAATTTTCAGTTCGGTTCCAACCTGTGAATATTCACATATGTAAGTTAGGGAACCAGCTGATTGTCCACATCAGAAGGAGATAATCTACATTCTCTACGTAAAAAAAATCCCTTGGCAGTTGGGAATTGAAAAGAGTAGCCTAACGGCGCTGCACGGGGAAAATTTAGAGTTAAAAATCTACCCGAAGTATTTCAGGATCCTCGCCGGTGCTACAGAGCCCGTGCACTGTGCTCAGCTTCTTCAGATTCAGACTTGAGTTAGAAGAAGAACGAAGCACCTATGGCTTACTACTTCTGTACCATGATGTTACGTTGTTCAAGACCTCAAACCTCAAACTATAGTTATGTTATGAGAAGAAGAAAACTGAAGAATACCATGACGGTGGAAAGGTTGGAGGATAAAAGAGGCAGAGGGAGACCAGGAGAGAGAGAGAGAGAGAGAGAGAGAGAGAGAGAGAGAGAGAGAGACAGAGACAGAGACAGAGACAGGGAGAGAGACAGAGAGAGAGAGAGAGAGAGAGAGAGAGAGAGAGAGAGAGAGAGAGAGAGAGAGGGGATGCTGAAAAGTTTGACATTGAATGAAAGACCGCATGTGTCAGAAACGAGTGAAAGTAAACGAGAATAAGATTGTGGATATACATGACTACCAACGCCACACGGCATGGACAAGAAGACGGAGAAGTTGTGAAATGGGAGGAACCTGGAGGAGAGGACTGGGGAATGAGGTGAAACAGATGGGGCAGGACAGTGAATGAGATGATGATAAGATAAAGGAAGACTAAGCGTAAAATGGTTGAGGACCTATGTCCACCTGGAGGATTAAAAAGCAGAAGAGAACTGAAGAAGAGGAGGAGGATGATGAAGAGGAGGAGGATGAAGAGCAGGAGGAGGAGGAAGAAGAAGATGATGAAGAAGAAGAAGAAGAAGAAGAAGAAGAAGAAGAAGAAGAAGAAGAAGAAGAAGAAGAAGAAGAAGAAGAAGAAGAAGAAGAAGAAGAAGAAGAAGAAGAAGAAGAAGAAGAAGAAGAAGAAGAAGAAGAAGAAGAAGAAGAAGAAGAAGAAGAAGAAGAAGAAGAAGAAGAAGAAGAACAAGTAGAAGAAGAAGAAGAAGAAGAAGAAGAAGAAGAAGAAGAAGAAGAAGAAGAAGAAGAAGAAGAAGAAGAAGAAGAAGAAGAAGAAGAAGAAGAAGAAGAAGAAGAAGAACAAGAACAAGAAGAAAAAGAAGAAGAAGGAGGAGGAGGTGGAGGAGAAGAAGGAGGAGAAGAAGAATAAGAAAGAGGACGAGGAGAAAAAGAAGGAGGAGAATGAAAATGAGGACAAGTAGCAGCAGTAGCAGCATCAGCAGAAGTAGCAGCAGCAGTGAGTAGCGAATAATACAGATTACCAAGTTCTGATTAAAGAATCGATATAACACCATAGCCATATCCACAGTCTCTCCTTACACAGCATTCATCTGAAGGTCTCTATTTTAAATGGTGACTCTGTAGCTTAAAGGCTAGTGAATGCGTTGAACTATTCCATGATCATCGTGTACTAGGGTTCTATTTTTTTAAAATCCACTTTCGTGTTTTGCAAACAGTGGTACAAGAGTCGTACTGTGAAAGACATTTGAGGCTCTACAACGTCAAACAGCTGCGGGCACACTGTAGACAAGCTTCAGTGTGGAAAGGGCACACTTTGTGTTTTGTGTTAACACAATTTATACAAATTTGTGTTTAAAAAATTTAAGTCTAGTAGTTTGCCATTGCTTTCTGGGCGGTCGGCTTTCTTGATACCACTGTAGAAACCAACGCAAGGCGCCTGGCCCGCAGCTGGGATCGAACCCGGCATCCTGACATTACGAAGCGTTTGCATCGACTTAGTCACAGAGCCGACCATATGTTCCATAGGAAACTAAAATTAAATAACACTACCAGGCTTGGAATCAGAAATAAATAAAACTGAAAGCGCAACAGGAAACGACAAAGAACAGATAAAGAACGAGCGCCTTAAAAACAAAGTTCGAAACTTTTTGTAAGCAAAGTCACAGGAAACGGAAATATCCTCGAACGTAACAGCACACAAACAAAACAAAACAAAGTTCTAAGGAAAGTAACCTGAAGAAACAGGCATCTTCAGGAGCAGACTCACAATATATATACTTCAAAGAGCAATCAATGCATTTACCTTGGTTAAAGAAGTTCACAAAGATGTTTTTGTAAAAACAGTGCCATAAAAGCAGACAGTACATAATATGCTGTTTTGGGCGTCCCCCTAATAGATAGATCTGTGTAACTTTATAGGTAGACAATAAATCAGATGGTTTGGCCATGTAAAAAGCATGGCATCAGACAGGGCACCGCAAAGAACAATGTTATTAACTCGTAGTTACAACAGTAACAGTCCCAGAGGTCGACCATGTAGAAAATGGACCGCAGCAAAATCAAAGTGCTGAAGTCGAAGGCAACCAACTAGGAGGCGCCCTATAAAAGTCAGGATGCCACGCACAAGCGCTATAGGAAATATATCGGTGCAAGTCAAACTTTGCGGGTCGCTGAGTGAATTACAAAAGACAGTGAAGTTCATACGAGAGACAGCATTGCAGATATAGATTTTTTTTTTTTCAAGCTAGCTAAAGAAGAAGAAGAAGAAAATCATAGTATTAATTTCGCCTTTTTATGGGACCCAATGGTTTTTGCTATTTTAAAGCTTCACCCCGGCTGTTTGCGGGGGTCCTAATAGAAACTAACGGTTGAAAGGGGTTTCTGCGACTTGTGCCTGGGTTATTCTCATCCGTATGGTGGCATATTGAGTCACCGAGTGTGTGTTCCTTGTGGGGTTTAACCTCGTTCTCTCACTCACTCTTCGAGTGATAATCGTGTCCCATAAGTTTCCACACTTAAAAAAAAAAAAAAAAATCACCAAGGAAGGCCATTACACATATAACTGTAGGTGTGCTTCCACGTCATTTTTGGCACTGAAATGTGTGTGAAAAATAAAGATAGTCAAGTAGAGCATATTGTGTAACTATAAAAAATTTTCTTAAACAAAATTTTATTTCTTCCTATCTATGAAAAATTGTAAGGACACCCTAAACAACTATGTTGTAAAACGCCACAAATTGCTGACAAATGTGCTGGGCCGAAAGACATATATCGCAGCCTATCTGTAAACCACACTACAATGTGTTAACCAACCTTCAAGGTCGATGAAAACATAGGTATAACATTTTCGAATGTATCACATGCACGAAAAGAGTCCTTGATTTTTTTAAATTTACTTACTGCTCTGAAAAGTCTAGATAACGAATGACCACATTACCTTGGCGCCTTCGGGGATATCCATTGTGACGTCACGAGCCGGAAATGTCGGTGGGTTGTCGTTGATGTCATTGACGATGACCTCAAGTGTGACCACAGTAGTGATGGTGACGTTTGCGTGGATGGCGATGTTGAACTTAACCTGTGGATGACAGAGTTATGGTTAGGGGACTTGGCTATTTAATGTTATAGCATTCAATGCTAGTTTATTCCTAGTATTGAGATTTAACTCTGTATCTATTTATTTAGAATAACAACAATAAGAAGGAGACAAGCACGGTTCTTTAGTCACATAATGAGAAAAGAGACATTGGAAAACATCGTGACTACTGGAAAGATCAGTGGAAAGAGAGGTAGAGGCAGACCAAGAGAGATGATGCTGGATGGGTTGACACGATGGCATGGAGGGATATCATCAAGAGGGCTGTTTTAGGCAGCCAGGGATCGTGATCTGTGGCATGAGCGCCTACGCCAGTTGGCGCGACACATGATAATGATGATAATCTTTTTTTTTTTAAACCAGAGTTAATTAGCCGGCTTCCCGCGGGATTGTTAATGAAAATGTTCTTTTTCCGGACGTCTACTTCTTCTTTGCTTGTTGCCTTTGGATGTTTTATGTTAACTTAATACAACTAACTGCATCAAAGGTTTCTACCATCCCTCGGCCGCCCCAGCACCGGAAATGTGTGTGGGGGTGGGATGGGGGGGGGGGGGAGGGGCGAGGCGGTGGTAGCGCCCCTTGGGGGGACACTTGTCTAGCCATTACCCTATCGCGGTTCCCCATTACCAATAAGAATAAACTCCATAGGGGAGCATGTACAGCAGGGGTCTACCAATCATCAGTAGAAGTAACCTCTCGTCGACAATTGTTTTGGCCCACGAGCTCCTATCCATTTTCAAAAAGTGGGTCCACTTTTTCAAAAGTAACCCACAGTTGCTGATCAGACTTCCAAGTTTGACGGCAGCGAAATATAGTGCTTTCAAACTCATCCTTCAAGGGTCGGTAAATTTTTAAGTCATCATCATTATCATGTAGCAGGTCCTTTGCAGAACGTCGCTCTCATCACAGTCTGCCTGAAAGAAACTCGGTCTCTCGCCAGTTCTCCTGCCTCATATACTTTCATACTCGGTCGGTCACAGCCGCATCTTCCTGGTACCATGCCTTCTGCTATAGTTTTTTCCAATCCGTTGTGGCGCTTGATATGAGCAAAATATTTCAGCTTTCGAGAAAGGATGCTGTTTATTAGCCAATCTTCCTTGATGATCTTTATGAACTAAAGGGTAATAACTCTATCGAATGCTAACTTTTAGCGATTATGGCGTTAGTTTTCAGTTAGGTCGTAGAAGAAAGTACATTTGACGTAGCAGTGGTAGCCAAAATGACATGTACAAATTTCACATCGTTACTGCTCGCCGTTTGAGATGTGCTACATTTAAAAGAATCATTTTTCTTTTCACGCGTTTGGTGTATAGGGCATTTGGTGCCAGACCCGTTTTGTATAGATATCATCGGCCGTTAATTATTGATGTTCTAAAACATTAGCACGATTATTTTCTTTGCTTACTAATCTCGTCACCCACATGTGGGATGCCATTTTGTAGTTATTTTGAAGCTCCATCCTATTTTTGCCGGAGGCCCTAAATATAACTGGGCCTAAAATTTGGCCTAACGGCTAGACGGGGTTTCCTAGGCCGCTCCAGGCGTGATCCTCATCCGCATGGTGGCATTTTCTGTCATCGGGTGTTTTAGCTTGTGGGACGTCATGGTGGGGTACAATTACCTACCTACCTTTGCTTACCAGAACGGTACACGTTTTGTACTGTGTTGACAAGGCCATTTATACAATTGTTTCCCCCCATGCAGATTCAAACTCAAGACTTTCGGGCAGGAAGGCAAGCTTCTAGCTACCGCAACACTTGAGAGTGAGACAGAAAGGGCGAGAGAGGGGGTAGGGAGTGAAATAGTGAAAGGAGAGTGGTCAAAGAGAGATGGAGGGGATAGAGAGGGGAGAGGGAGAGCAGAGAGAGAGAGAGAGAATGGCTATATTAGAAGTTAAATAGGATTATGCACGGTGTAAATTTGAAGCAGGAGATTTCTCAAAATATGTTGTTACCGACATTGCCAGTCATCCAAAAGGTAGAAAATCATCCGTACTTTTCAAAAAAATTTATGTGCCTTAAAAAATTGACACGGCATGTCCATTAATCCTTCTGGTTACTTGTCAAATTTACCCAGATAGTATGCCATAATCTTTCTGTGTCAGCAGGGTTGAGATCCTATCCTGATGTACGGAAGTAAATCATGGACAGATTGAAACAAAACGATATAATATGAAACATAAATATAAATAATATATATATATATATATATATTATAATATATATATATATGAAAGAGACGGAGATGTGGTTTTACTGACGAATGATTAAAGAACAGTGGAATGTAAACTCTATGGACCACTGAATAAACTAACAACCACAGTGACATTTATTCGAGAGACAAAATTGCTGATGTAGGCAACTTATTTGAGACGAACGAAAGAAGAAAAAGAACTGACGAATGATGATAACTCCCTGGACAGAGAGCAAGAGTAATGAAGATAGATCAAAAAAGCTTGAAGAGAAGTACATCAGAGGGAGATATTTCGTCTTGTCCATTCAAAAGATAAATCTGACTCTTGTCATGAAGGAGACAATCTACATTCTTTGTCTTGTCTGATGACCTACATTCTTTGGAGCAGAGAAGAGACATTCTTTGGTCTTGTCATCAGAAGAGACACTCTACATTCTTTGGTCTTGTCATCAGAAGGAGACAATCTACATTCTTTGGTCTTGTCATCAGAAGGAGACAATCTACATTCTTTGGTCTTGTCATCAGAAGGAGACAATCTACATTCTTTGGTCTTGTCATCAGAAGGAGACAATCTACATTCTTTGGTCTTGTCATCAGAAAGGAGACAATCTACATTCTTTGGTCTTGTCATCAGAAGGAGACAATCTACATTCTTTGGTCTTGTCATCAGAAGGAGACAATCTACATTCTTTGGTCTTGTCATCAGAAGGAGACAATCTACATTCTTTGGTCTTGTCATCAGAAGGAGACAATCTACATTCTTTTGGTCTTGTCATCAGAAGGAGACAATCTACATTCTTTGGTCTTGTCATCAGAAGGAGACAATCTACATTCTTTAGTCTTGTCATCAGAAGAAGAAAACTGGAGTTCATCGTAAAGGGGAGAAAGTTGGAAGGAAAGAAAGGCAGAGGGAGACCGAGAAAGAACATGCTGGGCAGTTTGACATCATGACAGGGAAGATCTACTGCTCTCTACTACTCTGTGTTAGAACTGATTGAGTGAGAGTACATAAAACAGAAGGTTGTGGATAGACATGACTGTTAGCGCTACACGGTCGTAATAATGAGTTCTCCGTGTGAGTTCCGGGACCCCATTGTGGGAAAAAAACAAAAATAGGTCCACTGACTCCTCAACAACCGTGTCGTAAGAGTCGACTAACGGAAGGCTTCTTTCGTAATCGGAGCGCATCTGTATAAAAAAGCAAACCAAGAATCTGCATACGAATAAGTAAGATCTGTAAAAGGGTTGTGCACGCAACACTGGATTTATGGAACAAGAGTAAATGTAAGTTGCTGTATTGTTGATTAGTTCTTCTTCTGTTGTTTTCTTTAAATTCTAGTGAAGTAAGTAAAGGTAAATAACCCTTTTTCGCGCCTTCAGGCGTTATGCCCATACAGGGTTTGCGGAAAGTGGGAGTGGGAATGGGAGTGGGAGTGGGAGTGGGGAGGGGGGGGGGGTAAGACTAGATCTATCTTCTTTTTTAGAATAATCAGCACATGGTGGGTGATGTGGTCAGCAACCTTCCGGCCGCCCTTACCTCCCAGGACTTTATGTAGTCCCCATATAAGGCCGAGTCAACCTGGGTGCGTAGTTTAGTTCTGATGGGGAAAAAAGTCCGACTCAGTCAAGACTTGAACCCACGACCTTTATTTCAGCAGGCGAGCTGTCTATCCGCTACACCACGTCGGCTCCAGTTCCTTCAATTCTGCCGCCAGTAAATACATACCAGCCTGATAAATTACTACCTAGGGTAGTATGCGTGCATGATTGCATGCCTCACTGTTTACAGAATACCTTTCATATAAAAAAAAAGCATCAGTCAAAAATCGTTCACTTATCAATCAACTGATCAACAACTAGTCAATCAACCAAAAATATTTTTTTTTATGGAGAAAAAAAAAAAAAAAAGTAAGAACTAACTAATCAGTAAACAAGCCAACTAAACAAAGATCAATCGATCAAGCCATCAATCTGTCTACTAAATCTATCAATTAATCAAGAAAAAAAAAAAAAAAAAACCCCAGGTAATCACCCAACCAGCGAGACAATCAACAAAAAAAGAACAACCAGCGGACAAACTAACTAAACAACCAATTCATCCCTACCCCCTAACCCCCCCCCCCCAACCCCCAAAAACCCCATCAACCAGTTACCAGTATATAACATATATATATATATATATATATATATATATATATATATATATATATATATATATATATATATATATATATATATATATATATATATATATATATCCGTTGACAGTATATGCGTCGGCCCCTGTGTCCAACACTATGTCTATCTGCTTACATATGTAAAAACTGTTATTTTTGAGCTACATTAAATACCACCAAACACAGATTCGCCCCATAAATGTCGAAAATCAATCAGCCATCTTTTTTCTCTGATGCTCCTATCTATTTAAAGACCTCAACAAACAATATACTATCCCTAGCTGATCCCTAACAAGCTAGTAATGAGGTTTAGGTTCAAGAGAAAGTGTAATATGCCTCATCTTTTTGTCAGGAGACACATAGCTACGTGCTCAAGTAGCTGAACTTGTATTAGTGAAGAACTCATGATGTTGAAAATAGCATTGTTTCGAAGAGAATGAGGAGGAGGAAGGGAGGAAGAAGAAATAAGAAAGATGGATAGACAGGTGGGCATAT